TATTTAACATCATCATACATTTTATACATATTTTTTTCGTCAAATTGGGCATGATGCATTTGTCTCATTTGCCTAGATGAAGTTAGGGTGTGGGTGGTGGATCGTGAGAGTGCATGAAGCCGTCCGGTCTAAGCCCCTGGTAACTGGCCAATTCTATAGAGTTAATAAAACGGATTGATAATACAGTTGGTTCTTTTCTTAGTTTAAATTACAGAGCATCTAATTCACTACAATCATTCTATTTTACTTTTAGTTATATACTTTTTACTTTTTACTATTTGAATTCATGACAACACTGGAGGCCATGACCGGAAGCATGGTTATTACAAAAAGTACGGATCAGATTAAACTTATGAAAATATAAGGAAACATTTTGGAACATGGACAGTCAATTCAATAGTCTCTTGCAGAACATTTTCCCCGCCGATGAGGCGTTAGTCCTCATCCAAATCAGATTCTTCAGTTGCAGGCAAAATTACACAAATTTTAGTAACAGGTCTATTATATTCTTTGGTTTTAACTTTAACGTTTCTCACACGATTATCAGCTCCGGGGTAAACTTCTAATATTCTTCCTAAAGTCCATTTTCCACGGATAGCATTTTGATTTTGAATTATAACAATGTCATTTACACAAACATTACGTTTTTCAGTGTTCCATTTTTTACGCGGTACCAATAGTGGCAAAACATCTCTATTCCATTGTTTCCAAAAAGAGTCAACTAATTTCTGAACAAATTCCACACGATGTCTAGGATTTTTAGTTTCACGAAAAGGTCCTTGTGGTACATGACTTGACGCACGACCTAACAGAATATCATTAGGACATATAGGACATATATAAGAACCATCATCAGGATCATTGGGTATTCTTCCTATTGGACGTTGATTGACGAGATTAGCACATTCGAGTAGGTAAGTATGTAGTTCAAAGAAGTCAATAATTGTTCACCAACAGATTTCTTCAGAGCAGTTTTGCAGACTTTAACAATAGATTCAGCGCAACCATTTTGATGTGGAGCAGCAGGAGTAGTAAATTTCCACGTCATTCGATTTTCAGCACAAAAGTCTTTTAAAGTTTCTTCATCATATCCCTTGATCATTTGTCTCAGTTCTTTTTCAGCACCAACAAGTTGTGAACCATTATCACTTAACATTAAAGAAGGAGTCCCACGTATACTGAAAAATCTTCTTAAAACTTGTATAAACTCCATGGTCGAATATTCAACAGCAAGTTCCAAATGAACAGATCTAATGTTCAAACATGTAAATAATACACCATAATGTTTAGCAGTTTTGTTTCTACCAATTTTGACAGCAGTGTAATAAAAAGGCGGTGTAAATGGAGCTAAACGAATTTTGGGCAATTCCATCATAAATTGATTTTCAACTTTGTGTTCAAATTCTTTACACACAACACATTTATATTTTACAGTCTTAGTCAGTTTATGAACTTTCAGTATCCAATATTTTCTTCTTATTTTAGCAGCAGTAGCAGCAATTCCTAGGTGACCATTATTGTGTGTCTGACGAGTTATTAATAAAGATATTCGTTGATCATTAGGCAGCAAAGCAGGGTGTTTAGAATCATAGGAGACAAAAGCATCATTCAATCTACCTCCAACGCGTAAAATTCCATCTTCATCTGTAAATGGGCTTAAAGTTTTAAAGTCTCGTCCTGTTGACGATCATATAAACTAAATTGCGCGCGCTTAATCCAGTAAGTTTCAGAGTTAACCAATTCTTCAGCAGATAAAACTTCTTTCCTTTTAACAGCATTTCTTCTTTTAGCAGATAAATTCCATATGAATCTTAAACCATAAGCAGTTACTCGTATCAGTTTGTTCCACGTAGAATAGTTATTACAGTTTATAATATCTTCATTAACAGTTACAGCACTCACAGATTTACGAATTTCCATTTCTATATCAGTATCAACTACTTTAACAGTGTTAATAGGCCAATTTTCTTCTTCTTCTAATAAAAAACTTGGACCATTTTTCCATCTTTCAGTTAATTGACTAGCAGGTATACCACGTGAAATATCATCAGCTACATTATCTTGTGAACGAATATGATACCATTGAGCAGGATCAGTTGTATTCTGTATTTCACCAATTCGAGATGAGACAAAAGGTTTGTATTTTCTGGCTTGGCTTTTTATCCAGGCAAGAACTATCATACTATCTGTCAGGAAAATAGTTTTCTCAAATTTCAGTCGTGTTTCTTCCATAATAGTTTTATAAAGACGAGTAGAAAATACAGCAGCTTGTAGCTCTAAACGAGGAATTGTAAGTTTCTTCAACGGTGCTAATCTAGATTTAGCAGCAATAAATCTAACATGGTATTCATCAGAGTTTGTTTTCCATCTCAGGTAAGCACAGGTACCAAAAGCTTCTTCAGATGCATCAGAAAATATGCAAAGTTCAGGTAAGTTAACAAATTCTGGAGGTGTCAAGCATCTTTCAAATTCTATACCATTTAAACTGTTCATTTCAGCAAACAAATTTAACCATTCAGATTGCAAATTTTCAGGTAAGGTTTGATCCCATTCTAATCCAAGTTGCCACAGTTTCTGCATTCCAATCTTCAGTCGTACCAAAAAGGCAGCAGCAAAACCAATTAGATCAAATAATCTAACAATTTGACTCAAAATTCTTCTTTTTGTCAAACAAACACGAACATTAGATTTATCAGCAAATTCAATCTTTACTTTATATGAAAAAGTGTCTCTTGTATCATTCCAGACGATTCCTAAAACCTTTTCTTCATTTATATCAGTCAACAGTTTCAAATCTTGATTTTCAGGAACAGGTAAGCAGTTTAATACTTTATTAGATATCCATCCTTTAACTTTAAATCCACCATTAGCTAGTGCAGAGTCAATATCAATAGTCAGTTTACTAGCTTCATTTACAGTTTTAACTGAAGTACATATATCATCCATATAAACATCATTTTCTAATACTTTAGCAGCTTCAGGTAAATTAGATTTTACTTCTTCAGCAGTTTTCTTTAAAGCCATCTGAGCCATAGTAGGTGCTGGCTTATCACCAAATGTCAATACAGTTTTGACATATACATCAGGAGGTTTTTCAACATTGAGATTTCTCAACAGGAACCTATGAACATGTTGATCTTCTACAGGAATCAGTACTCTGTGATACATCTTGGAAATATCCCTACAAATAACCACTTCATTTTCTCTAAATCTCAGTATAACTCCAAATAAATTGTTGAGAAGATCAGGACCCTTATATCAGTAATCATTCAAATAGTGACCATTAAAACTGGCAGACGGGTTAAATACTATTCTTACAGGTGTACTTTTCTTCTCTGGTTTTATAACTTCATGATGGGAAATATAATGAACAGGACCTTGGTATTCAGTAATTTCTGAATCTGTAAGTTTTCTAACGAATTTCATATCCACCATTTCTTCAATTTGACCATTATAAATTTCAGCATGTACAGGATATTTCAGCAGTCGACGTTCAGTTGATTCCAATTTATTTTCAGCTTGTATTCTATTATCAGGAAGTAAATTAGGATCTTTTCTCCAAGGGTAAGGTATTAACCATTGATTACCAATCTTCTTACAGGATTTCTCAATTATCTTAGATTCTTTAATTTCTATGGGACTGAGACCACTTTCTCGGCAGCAACAGGAACCTAAAGCAACACCCATTGCTTTTGTAGTCCAAAAGTCAGCCATATCTACCGGACCCGACAATCCGACATAATACACACGATGATCTTGAGTTCGATATCCAGACGTCACACCAAATATAATCCATCCCAAAGGTCTTATATTGTCTTATATCCCCTGTATGCAAAAAAGCATGATCTATGCCTATGAG